AAAAAAAAAAAAAAAAAAAAAAAAAAAAAAAAGAAAAGAACTATAAAATAAGGGTTTTGAATCCTCTAAACATGTTAATCTAGCCTCTGAAGAGGCTTTTCGGGTTTTAGCCGTACTTTTGTACTGAGATATGAGTTAGTTTTTTTTATCTTTGTCTGGTGATCCTCAAGCTTCTGCTGTGTGTTGACCAATAAACCCCTGGAGTGGCTGAAGCAAAGCTGTTGTCATCTGGGGTATCCATGGCAGCTTTTGGTCCTTTTTTCTGGAGAGTTAACTTTTAGGGTGAAGAATGCAGTCTCAAGAGGTGGTAGCTGGTTTGAGTCAGTTGTGATGTATTCACAGAGTGACTTCAGCTACTTTGGCTGCAGTAGGAGTAGACAACAAGACAGTAAAAGCCCCCCCCCCAAGGGGTTTTAGGGGCTGTACATTCCGTTTTTTTCACCCAGAGGTACCCGGCTTGTAGGGGTGTACAGGGGGGTTAGGACTAACTGGGAGTCATTCTCCTACCCATTGGTGAATGGTCTGCATCAGGTTTTTCTAGAGCCAGGAGTTGTTGTAAAGTTATATGTCTGACTTCTGTCAGATCATCCTGAGTAGCCTTGATGAGAGGGGGAGGCCTGCCATACGGGATTTTAAAAAAAGGAGAAGCCCATGTCCAGAACTAAACCATGGGATTTTGTTCCAGTGGAAGTGGGCTTCTTGTCTCAAAGTTAACTTGTCAGTTTCGGCTACCAGAAGCCGTTGTGGATGCTGCTGCCCAGAGACAGGGTGGCCAGCCTCAGGCCATTGTGTCCATCTGTCTTGAAAGATATGCCATCAGGTGGTGCCCAGACCCTAGAAACTTGAGTTAAAACTCTCACCATAATATCATGTTTTTTGTGGACATATAAAAAGAAGGGTTTTTTTGTTTTTTTAGTCCCAGTTCTAGGGCACTCATAAGTGTCTTTTTTTTTTTTTTAATGTCCATAAATGCCTTTTGTTGAGTTGTTTTTTAGATCGGGGTTTTTTTTTTTTTTTTTAATTTCCAAAAAGGCCTTTTTTTGGGTTTTTTTTTAGACCGGGGTTTTTTTTTTTTTTTTTAATTTCCAAAAAGGCCTTTTTTTGGGTTTTTTTTTAGACCGGGGTTTTTTTTTTTTTTTTGTCCCAGTTTTAGGGCCCTCATAAGTGTCTTTTTTTTTTTTTTAATGTCCATAAATGCCTTTTGTTGAGTTGTTTTTTAGATCGGGGTTTGTCTTTTTTTTTTTTTTTTTTTTTTTTCTTTCCCCCTTTGGTTGTTTTATATAGGGGTTTGGCCAGCATTGCTAAGTTAGGGATCCAGATCCTGTAGAAATCCATTGTCTCCAGGAACTCATGAACTTGTCTTCAGGTGTTGAGGGTCAGGATGGAACAGACAGCCTGTTTGTGTTCTGGTCCCAGTTCATATTGTCCTTGGGAGATACAGAACCCCAGATACTTGACTTTTTCATGGAAGAAGGCATCTTTAAGGTCCAGACAGGTGAAATAAGCAGCATCAGCCAGGTTCAAGCTCAGATTAGGAATGGCAGGATGCAGGGTGATGGCTGCTTGGTTCACTGCCCTGAGGTTTTGTACCAGTTGGAAGTCGTTGGTCTCCAGCTTCTGAACTGGCAGTAGAGGTGTGTTCCAGGGCGACTGGCATGGCCTTAAAAGTCCATGCTCGATGAGTCTGTCCAGATGTTTTTGTGTCCCCTGTTGAGCCCACTGGGGGATATAGTATTGTTTTTATTGGACTGGCATTGTCCCTGGTTTCAGTTCCACTAGGACCAGGGGAATGTTCTTGGCCAGACCTGGTGGGTTGTCTTCAGCCTAAACTCTGGGTACTCAGAAGGAAAGCTCCAGCAATATTGGTGTCATGGACTCTACACTGAACAACTGTCATTCTTCTCCTAGGGAATGGTGAGGGATAGGATCTGATCCTTTGAATCTCCCAGAGTCAGGGTCATCTCTCTGGTCTTTGAGAAAGTTATTTGGGCCTGTTACTTACTCAACTGATCTTGTCCAAGTGGAGGCACTGGACAGTCGGACAGGTAGAGAAACTCATGAATGACCTCTCTTTTTCCTATGCTGCATTTTCTGGGCAGCAAGAACGTGTGTTTCCATTGGTTTCCTATATCTCTATGATAGTTTATTTCCAAGAAAAAAGTCCAAGAGGCTGTGTGACTACCAAATGTTTGGCTCCAGGGTCCATCATGAAGTTTATAAGTTGGCCCTCTACCATCATTTGGATCAAGGCCTCCTAGGGGCCTAGGGAAAGGAAGCCCAGTCAGTCTTATTCATTTTCACTTTTATATTGTTTAAGTTCAGCCAAGCTAATGAAATCTTGCTGGGGTGTCTTGGTAGATAGTTTGGGTTGCAGTTTCCTTGGGAGGCTTGTCCCTGTCTCAGGGGCTGGAATTTGCCCTTATCAATGGCCAGGAGTTGGGGGCATTTATAATTTTAATGACCATCTTTATGTCAGAAAGCACATTTGTTGGGTCTCAGGGGTGGTCTGGAACTGGGGGCATCCTGTGGCTGCCCTCTGATTGGCTTTAGGCCTTGGCGTTGGGGCCCTTTTGTAGGTCCCAACTTTTTGGCTAGTGCAGAAACTAGGAAATCCACCTTTTTTTTTTTTTTTTTTAATCATTTGTTTGTTTGTCTCATGGCAGGCCTTTATGTCCTGGTTGACAAACACCTTGGTTGTAATTTCTAAGAACTGGGTGACATTCATGCCAGCAAATCCTTCCAGCTTTTGGAGCTTGCAGCGTATGACCCCCATGCCTGTCTCACAAAAGCGGTGTTGACCATTCTCTGGTTTTTAGTTTGTTTAGCGTTAAAGAGCAAATCCTTCCAGCTTTTGGAGCTTGCAGCGTATGACCCCCATGCCTGTCTCACAAAAGCAGTGTTGACCATTCTCTGGTTTTTAGTTTGTTTAGCATTAAAAGATGTGTAGAGGCAGACTGCCTTGTAGAGCCTCTCATAAAACTGAATGGGGCTTTTGTTTGGCTTTGGGAGGACTTCAGAGATTCTGTTTATATTGGTTGGCCTTTTTTCCCCCTCCTGTCTAAGTTTCCCAGGAGAGCTTACTGGTACCGTTCCAGCATCCATAGGCCCTGGCCTGTGTTGGGGTCTCAGTGTGGATTCTCATCTGGGAAATGAGTTTGGGCATACACTTGGGTATTCAGTGTCCTGGCTGGGACATGGTCTTGGAGCCACTTTAGAGCTTCCTGGCTATCTTTCTTCTGTATTGAAGAGAGTCATTAGGAGCAGCCTGCAGTCCATCCAGGTGGATCAGTGAGGCTGGATTATGGACTGGACCACATCAAACATAGCCTGTGGCTTTTCAGTATATGTGGGCATCTGATGTTTCCAATTCAGAAGATCAATCATTGTGAACAGCTGATAGATGAAGGTGGGGTGTCCTCCCTTGAGGTGCCCATCCTGATCATAGAATAAGGGACCTCAAGTTTCTCTGAGCATCATCTGGAGAGCCATTCCCCGTGGTGACTCAGTTGAAGATTGGGTCCAGCGTGAACCATATGGGGTCAGAGTAGGTAGCAGTGGGGTCTCTGGAAGAGGTGGGAGTTAAAATGGTCCCTTCTGATGGGCCAGGAGGAGATGTTGGAATCATTGCTGAAGTAGGAGGCAGCGATGGGGGCCGTGGGGACAGCAGAACAGTTGGCCCAGTCAAATAGAGAGGTGGTAGATCCTCCAGATCTGAGGGCAGAATAGTTGGCTTGAGGGCCACATGTAACAGTCACGTCTGGGTGTGAGTCTAACCTGGGACTAACATTTTTCTGGCCAGCAGAGTTTGGTAATGTTTTTCCATTCAGGCCTTTAACCAGGAGGGTGGAGAACGAACTAAGTCTTCCTAAGAATTAATATAGGGGTACTGCTTAGGGTCGCTCTGAGGGTCATTTCCATGTTTGTCTAACTTGACGGATAAGGGAAAGGTTAAAGGCCCTCAGAGGGCCATCCTACATTGAAAGATGGTCAATCTATCTCACAGAATGCCTTGAGTTTATCAGGAGATAATTTGACACCATAGTCACCAGAAAAGCTCTTTTTACAATTCCTTAGCATACAGGCAAGGGGAGTTTGTTTGTTAGGTGTTCCTCCCATGTTTCCTACCAGTGATCGGTGCTGCAACAGTCACTCAATTCCAATCACTTTGTCCATCTCCGGCTGCTCACCTTGTGGTGAGCAGAGCCAGCACCTCTTGGCTTTGGTGATACAGTATTAATCCTACATCAGGAACTCTCTTGTAAGAATCACCCTTACCCGTATGAGGTCACAATGGACCTGCAGATCAGGACTCCACACTCACTTCGTATCTAGGATATGTCTCAGCAACACAAACTCACACACTTTTATTCACCACCCGAAAATTCCAAAAATTCTGACCGAAAAATGTAAGATGGTTTCCTCCATAGAACGGAGTTCACCACCCAAAAACTACTGAAATCCTGACCTGAATGGGGAATGTGGTTTCCTCTGTGAAATGGAGTACTAAGACATTCCACCCTTTGGGAGTTGGTCAGGCTTCCCTTCTACTCACACAGGAGTAGGAACCGAGTGGGACCCAGGTCCTTACCTAGTCTGATGGGCAGAGCTCCCCTGGTCTGGTTCCTGCACCTCTTTGGGTTCCATTGTGCTCAGGGTTCAACTTCCGTGTCCACCCGGAGAGGTCTTTCCCACTCACTCAAAACTCTCCATTGGCACCTGAGTCCGGTCCGCGTTATTGGGTGTCTCGGGGGCCAAGACCGAGAGACGAGAGGCGGTCAAGCTGCTGTTTCCACCATTCTGGATGATTCCCCAAGAAATGTTGCAGTGAGTTATGGTGACCTTGCAGGGAGAGGCAGGAAACACCAAAGCTTAAAACAGGAAAACAGAGTTTATTGAAATGCCAACATTTGGCTCAAAATAACTCATGTCCAAAGTTTTGAGCAGCCCAATGCAGGGGGGCGGTTATTTTTATATCATAGCATTTCCAGGTTTTACAGCATGGTAAGGGGGTGCTTTATTTTAGAGTAGAAGAGTACAAAGAAAAAAAAAGATTAAAAGAATTTCAGTTTCAGCAGTCTGTGATAACCACAGGGTGAAAAGAACTGAAGGTGCAGCTGCAGCTGGGTGGGGCTGCATGACGTCCAGGTGGGGGTCTTGGTTACAGCCTAGTGTGGCACAGTTTGGATGCCTAATGGCCACAGCTGGGCTGGACACAGCTGGGTAAGTGTCAGTGCCTCAGTATTAAATTCCCTAATGATGAGTTTGAATTTGTCTAATCCTTTCCTTAGTCTGCTAAATACTGCTTTATGTATTTTGAAGCTCTATTATGAGCTTACCTTTCGCTTACTATTTTACCTCTACTAGTTTTGGTCTAAAAAAAAAAAGCTTCTATCTTGTTTTAGGTAATTTTATCTGAGGTTTTTCTGTAATACATATCCAGCCCTAATGCTAAATAATACAAATACTATGACAGGAAAGTACAAGACAACATGAATGTGCATATAATAGGGATCTATTTATCATAGTCAGGAAGAGTTTCCCCAAGAAAGTGATATATTTAAGGTAAGGTGAGTGTTAGCTCTAGTCAGAGATTGTAGAGGAGTATTCCAAGAAAAAGTCATGGGAAAAATTCCTGAGTCAAGGAGGAGCTTGGCTCTTTGTAGAAACAGAAAGAAGTTCAGAATAGCTTCACTGTAGAGCAAAAGAAGAAGTAGCAAAAGAATAATGGGATTTCTAGATCACACTTTTATTAGATAAGAAGAAACCTTTACAATCAATGTTCTAAGCTACTAGATGTGAAGGCTTTGGAGCTTCCAGAAAGCAGTAGAAACATTAACAGTTTTTAAAGCAAAAAAAATGTCATGATCTGATGTGTGATTTTAAAAGATGTGCAAACTGCTGTGTAAGGATAAATTGTAGAAGGCAAGAAATGGATGCAGGGAGATCAGTTAAGAGATGATTGAGGTAATTAAGATGAAAAGGAAATGATGGGGGATTAAGTTAAAGTGTACAAGGTAGAGCTGAAGGAAGTAAAAGGAGTCAAGATATATTTTGCATGTAGAATTGGTAGGAGTTGGTTATGGATTGGATGTGGGTTGTAAGGGAGAATAAAGTGTCATTGATGGCTTTTGGCATGTGCAGAAATAAAGAAATATGAAAGAACAGAATGGGGGAGAGGAGATAAGTGTTAACATTCTGAGATTCAAGATGCCTGAGTTACATTTAAAAGTTAAGTATCACACAAGCTATGAGACATGACCTTCAAAGAGGATGTGTGATAGAGATATACATTTGGGAATCATAAACACAGATGGCAACCAATGCTATGAGGGTTCATGAAATAATTTTGGCAGGAAGGATAATATAAAATAAATAAATAAGACTACAAAGCAGCCAGAAAAACCTCTAAAATTCACAGCTCAGAATGAACAGGAGGAGCTGGCAAAAAAGGATGAGAAAGAGGGACCAGATATATGTGATGCTACAGAAGCCAATGTTTTCCCTCAGTTTTTATTTACATTTTAGTTTTGTGTATACATCCTTCAGGATCAAGCCAGTTTCTCCAAGGTGTGAAGGAGGTTATTCATTTTTGTATGGTGCTCAGTCAGGTCAGTCCCACTGCAAAGCTGCTGAGCACAAAACACTACAATTCATTTACTGGCAAATTTCTTTAAACTTATTTACATACAGCCATTTTCCTTAAAAGGCGTTCCCAGATCATCAGGATGGCTGGTGAAGGATTGCTTCTGGAATCAGCTAAATGCTGGCCTGGAATCAACAGTCTTTTCTATCTTGGGTTTTTATACTAAGTCCTTGAAATGCAGCCAGTTTCTTTCCTTCATCATGGTGAATTAATTTCCTCACAGGGGCCCCTTTTGTCTTCTCTTACAATGAAACCAGACTGCTTTTTTAGGAATGGGAAGATAAGAGCAGGGTGAAGAAGCATTCCCCTTAATACTTTCAATTTATTATCAGATTGCTCAGTCAAGGTTTGTATCACTGGTGATGATGGAGATGTTATAGGATATAATAAGTGAAGGGAATGGCAACCCAGACAATACTCAACTAAGAGTGACAAAACTTTTCTTGGTTGTCCTAACCAAGCCCAGAAGAACTGGCAGAGGCACCTTGGTTTGGTACTCATCACTATGCCCTTGAATGCATAACTAGAAGTGTGGTAGATGGCCTTGAAATATGACTAGGTGAAGAGAGGTTGGTTCGATAGCTTTGACCTATAAAAGAGAACTTACTAGTTGACTCCCAAATAATAAATACCCAATGAAAACTATTTGTAGTTGCAATTCTTAGGGAGTAGCATATGAACTTAGAAGTATGCATCAGGGGCCGACCCCGTGGCACACTCGGGAGAGTGTGGTGCTGGGAGCGCAGTGGCACTCCCGCCACGGGTTCGGATCCAATATAGGGATGACCGGTGCGCTCACAGCGCTCACTGGCTGAGCGCGGTGCGGCCGGTCTCAAAAAGGACAAAAAAAAAAAAAAGAAGTATGCATCAGAACTGCCAGGGGTTATACAGTTTGAAAAGGCATTTTGATACATAATTCTGGTGGAGGTCGTGGCGGGTGAGTCTAACTCACTCTCAGCCTACAGTATTCCTAGTTGAAAATTATTATAATAAATCCAGTAAAAGACAAATAATAAACTGGGAAAATATATTTGCAACATAAACACATTGCAGACAAACTGTTAATAACGATTACATAAAGATTTCTTATAAATCAGTAAGAAAATAGACACAACTACTAAGAAATGTGCAGAATGCAAGTCAGCAATTCTGAGAAGAAAGCTAAAATTCCAATAAACATGATAAACTGTTAAGCAACAATGAAATACAGCATTAATATTTAACTATCAGATCAGTAATTATTACAAAGCATAATTAAATTCTGTAAGAAGAATGAAGTTTGGGGAAATGGGCACACTTACATAAATTTTGTGGGTATTATAAAATGGTACAACATTTCTGGAGGTTAAGCAGGCATAATGCGTCAAAATTTTTAAATTTAAAATTATTTGACCCAGAAATTTTCCTTGTAGATATTTATGCTAAGAATAATTAGACAAGTTCACAAAATTAGAAACAATCTAAATGTCCATTTATATGGTAATGGTTAAATAAATTATGGTATGTCCGTATAATGAAATATTAAGTAGTTGATATTACATTGGAAAGTGTTCCCGATCTACTGTTAAGTTTTTAAAAAGCAGATTAGGGAATAGCATATAATAAATAACCATTTGTGTAAAGAAAAAGGGGCTTATATAAACAGGTAAAAATTATTAAAATAGGAGATGAAATTATGGAGGGATTTTCACTTTGTTTTATTGTTTCTTCTTTTGTGATATACGCAGTTGTATCAGGAAAAGCTATATTTTAAAAATAAAAATAGTTGCATACAAGGTAGCGAAAAAGCAAACATCTTAAAAAGTGTAGAATGATAGACATCTTAAGGAAAAGACTGTAATTCCAAATTAGTGAAGCTCCTGTATTATATCATGGGTACTACACTTTATTTTTATCTTTATGGAGTGGAGGAGGTAAGCAGAATAAAACAAAAGACTGGAAATAATAGACAGCAATTAGCTCTATCACCAATTTTCTACATTTTCTCTAAGTAGTATCCATTTAGCAAAATTTACTTCTAGAACATTTAACAGTCTTTCTACAAGCTTTTCTTTAATCAGATTATTTCTTTTTACTCCTGACTCAACAAGCTCCCAGGTTCACTTTTCTTTGAAAGCACAGGACACGGACAATATTGCCAACACTGAAAATTTGAAACTCTTAGGGTAAAAAAACAGTTTGATTTTTGTTGCTAATTCTGTATGAGTTGTGAGACATTTAAAAATATTTTGCTATTTTATATGAAATTGTTTTTTATTATAATAATGTTCTCTCCCTTATTTTTTGTAGATAACTGTGAGTATTCTGTTTGTATTCAATCTACACCAAAGAACTCTGTTCTCAAAATTTCGCAAATACTATGGATGCTTATATTTGCTTTTATTGTGTTATGGTGCCACCAGGATCTTGGTTAGATGGCTATCATTCTAGGTGAGTGAACATACAGGTCTCTTTCTCTTTGCACAACTGGGACAGGCAGGCTTTGACTCTGGGCAATCATTGTTATCTGTTAACCACTTGTGAATTGAGTGTTGGACTGTTTTGGTTAGATGGCTATCATTCTAGGTGAGTGAACATACAGGTCTCTTTCTCTTTGCACAACTAGGACAGGCAGGCTTTGACTCTGGGCAATCATTGGTATCTGTTAACCACTTGTGAATTGAGTGTTGGACTGTAGTATTCACGCCAAATAATAAGGTTCCAGAGTGGGTAAGTTATACAGCTCTAGTTCTTGGTGTATGTTTGGACAGCTCATAAATGTAAAGAAATACATTACTGTTTCAGGTGGTGTGCGGATGAGGTGATACAGGCACAACTGCCACTCCCAATTTATATTTACCATCTCTTGAGATGTCTGTGATGTTCTTATATGTGACTGGTGCCCCCTAGTGAATAAATGAATAAAGGACTTACATTGGTCTCCATTGAAGAAGAGAGGCCAGGAAAATATCTGAAGCTGCTTTAACAATTTTACGTTGTATTAATAAGATGCTAAGGTTTCTGTGTGTGAATGGAGGGGAGGGGAGGAATCTGTTCTCCCTAAAAAAGAATCCCAGATTTCTCAATATAGAAGTAATAATTTAATTAATTTTGTAGGTGAAGTTCAAACTAATCTGAACTTTGCTAGATCATCAAGGTAAGTAAGTTGATCTTTATCCACTCCCCAAATGGAAAGACATGAGTGGACTTTTTTTTTTAATAGCTATTAGAGTCTATCTGATGAACTTAACTTGCGGTTTAGACTTAAGAAATTATTATTTCAATATAGAAACTTGAGTTTGGCAAATATATTTGACAAATTAATAAGTTACATTTTACTTGGTTAATTTCCAGAACACAGTATTTATTTATTTATTTGTCTATTTTGGCGGCTGGCCGGTAGGAGCATCCGAACCCGTGACCTTAGTGTCACAGGACTACACTCTAACCAACTGAGTAACCGGCCAGCCCCAAGAACAGAGCACTTAAAGAAGAGTGTGTTTGCTTGAGTTATACAATAAGTCAGTTATTTTTAATTACCATCTTCTCTCCCTAAAACTCATTATGCAATAATCATTATACTTCCAAAGAAATACGTTATAATTTTGTCATCATAAATATTTATTAATTACTATTTACAGCACTGGGTTAGGTCCTCATCAAGCAATTCAAAATAATTCTTATCCTCTAGGATACTTCCAATATAAAATAGAGACGAAGAATATATAACTGGATAAATTGGAAAATAAAGAAATAAATATGATAAGATAGTATTCACATTTTTAAACGGTATCAAAGGGCAGAGGCAATCACACATTTGACTCAGTGGCTTTTAAAATGCAGCATACTAAATGAACAGGTGGAGAAAAGGTTAAACAAGAAGAAGATGACACATTTAAATAACAAGTAGATGAAAAGGTTACTAGACTGGTCTCAGAAATCTTGTTTTATGTCAGAAACTATCAAACAATGAATTCCATGTGATGTATTTTTGCTGCTTTTCAGGTGTAGGCTCTCCTATTGCCTCTCACCTTCTTATCTAAACAATTATTTAATATGATTTTAAAAATACTTTGTTTTCTTCTCTTGACTAAATTGCCCTTTGTCTCCTAAGGGATTATCCTTTTAGATTCACCTCAATTCCTTCAGGTCCAAGCAGACGTCTCTAACTGTAAGGCCCCTGTCGGTTCTCCCTCTTTGAACTACTAATTTGGCGCAATTATATGGTTTTGATCATTCCATGTATATTAAAAGTCTACAGAACACATGCAAAAATTGCTTCAATTATGTGTTAATTTGTTAAGGGACAGAACCCCAAAGTCTGATTTCCATCGATGTAGTACAGAAGACAAATATCCCGTCCCTTATTTAGAGGGAAGACTCTATTTCTCTTGTCATGGTGACAAGCACGTGCTGGTGGAGGTAAAAGAAACAGGAACATTAGTGAAATCGAGGTGAGTGACAGGTAAGGACCAAAGCATGTCGCCTACCTCATCTTCGCCCACAAAACATCCATTCTTCCCGGTCCTGTTTCCCGGGATGTGTCCGTGGCGGATGCGAGGTCACCTGTGGGAAGGCCGCACACGCCTCCGCGGGGCCCTGACGCCGGGGAGGGAGGCAGGGAAGGAGGATGGGGCGACTCGCGGGAGTAGGAGGCAAGGAAGGGCCCAGGCGTCTCGCTTCGGCGCCACCAGGTGAGGCAGGAGGGCCAAGGACACGGGAAGGCGCGTGCCGGATCTTGCTGCCCCCCCC